TTAAAGTTTATTTTTACTTTTTGTTCTTAAAATTTTTGATACGTAATTATATATAATAGTTATAATAGTGAGATTCATTGTGACATTTCTATATAGGCACATAACATAATTTGGTCAATTTCATTCTCCAGTACTTCTTTTTTTCTGACTTTTAAATGTATCCCTATTCACTGTGAAGACATTGACCAATACTATACCCACCAAAAGAAGCATCACCATTTTTTTTTATAATTATGATCATACTCTACTAAAACTTTTTAAGTCCTATTAGTTTTAATCTGAATGTCTGGGAAGGGCTCTGCCTAAAGATTCAGATTCCCACAAGCTTGATGTCTGCCATAAATCCTCTTTCTAGGCTCTTATTTGGGTCTTGACTGCATCTCAGTCTCATATTTGAGGGTGAATGAAGTCCTGGGAGCACTGGGGAAGGGACTTAACAGGAGATCCCTGGAGGGAGGAAAGGAGGCAACATTGAAAAAAGAAATGCTTCCTCCATTGATCTTTTGTTGGGATTGACCTCCAGCCTGGATTCCATCAGAAATGATTTATCTTCCCTTCTCATCTTCTTCAGGAGGGATTATGTCCTTGAATCTGCCCCAAAGGCAGGACATTTTATAGGCAAAATTAGCCAGGGTTCTTCAATGTTTTAACCAAAAGGAACTCAGATTAGGAGGTCAGTAAATGCTGTTTCAGATCCTGGAGCTATCCTTTCACCTGAATGATTCACAATTGAGATGCTGCTGCCGAGCCAGCCCTCAGAGACATTTTGCTTAGACAACAACCAGAACATGTTAGGCACAATGTCTGTGAGGGACTGAAGAAACCACATCTTGTTCTGCTCTGTAGAAGCTGAACATGTGGAGGATGCACCTGAATAGATCTCTGATTGCTTCTTGGAATTTAGGCTGAGTCAGACTCATGCTCCCAGCAGAGGCTTGAGAAGCTTACTGGCATGTAAAAGAAATTGATTAACTCTTGACGGGCTTGCTGTGAGGGACTCCCTAGGCCAATAAACCTGGCCAATAATGTTCTTTAACTCCACAAAATGAAGGCATTTCTGAGCTCTGCATTTTTTGAATATCAGCCCTCAGACCTCAGGTAGTCCTGTATATAGCTGGAAAATTTTTCATTCTGGACTCTTGTGAGAGCAACTAGAGAACTGTGGGGTGGTGCTAAAGCCCTCTTTTAGGCACCAAATCAGAGGATCTTAACCATTTTCTAAAATATTTCTTTCTTTTTTTTCTTTTAATCTCAGTCTTTCAGAGAAAGGGTCCATATTTAAAGGTTAATAGGAAGATTTTGGTTCAATTGCAGATCTGATTATCTTAGACAAATAAAATTCAGCCTCGAGGAAAAAAATATATATCTATTGCCCCATCCCCAAACTGTTATGGTGTTAGTTCTGGCAGGATAAGCATGGTATAAGGGAAAGGGTTGGAGGGAGAAAAGAAAGCTGCTTATGCCTTCTCCCTACTGCATGCTATAAATTCACAATATCCTTATCTGGCTCTCCTAATCCCAAGAGCTGTGCCATATATAGTTAGCCATATGTGATACCATTTATGGAGCTCTTAGATTGTGCTAAGGATCAAGCTTAACACTTTACATGCATTACCTCAGTGTCTGTGGGGACTCCAAAAGTGCCATCAGTGAAGCGTTGTTTGGTCTGCTAAAGAGTAGGTGCCACTTCCACTTCTCACAGCAGTCCTTTTATTCATTTGTCCATGTTCAACCCCAGGGCTGCATACGATTTACCTATCCCAAAGAAAGAACATAAGGACTCATGGAGAGGGTTTGGACATTTTATTACTAATGCCCTCTTCAGTGGTGGCAGGCCGGGATACAATGAAGGGCTGCACCATGCCTATAAGCACAGGAAATATATAGGATAGTTGCACACCCACAGTGCAAGTGGGTTTCTTCAGATGTTTTATGATTACACCCCTTTACTTTATAACCACAATCATTCTGCTTTGATCTTCACCTGAATATTGGAGACAAGAGAAGTAGCCAGCTTCCCCTCTCCATTTCCTTCATTATCATTCTGTAGAGTCTTATCCAATTGCAAGCTTTTCTAGGCACTGATTAGTATTTAGTCTAACAGTCCAACAAATATTTATACACCTGTTCAGGCCAGGAGTTTTGCTAAACACTGGTTATACATTGGTGAATAAGCAAATATATTTCCTGCCTCTGTAGACCTTATGGTGATAAATACTACTAGGTGAAGGGGGTAACAGTTGTCTAGAATGGTCACAGAATGCTTCTCTGAAGTTATATTTAAACATAGACTTGAAGAATGAGGATTCATGCTAAAAATGGAGGGGAGATTATTCAAGAAAAAAAGAAACCATAAGTGTGAAGATCTTGAGGCAAAAACAAAAACAAAACAAAACTCCAAGAGGCATTTAAAGAACTGAAGGAAGGCCTGTGTGCTGGAGTATAGTGGTAAAAGGAATATGTGGAGATTTGGAAAATAAAAAATATCAGATTATTGAAGAGATTTTTATGTTGTATTAAGGAGTTTGAGGTTTTTTTTTTCTTCTCAAGGCAGTAGAAAGTCTGAATAATTTTAAACAGGAATGATCTAATCTAACTTCTATTTTTAAAGGATTTTACTGTACGTATGCTATACTTCCCTTTTTAAAAAGGGAGAAAGACTTAAAGGAATAAAGGTGTCTTGGGCTACTGTGTAGAAGATTGAAGAGAGGCAAAAACAGAACTATTGGTGTACTTTATTAAAGGGATAATGAGGTCCTAACAGAGTGAAAATGGGGAGAAGAGGACACAGACAAAATATATTTAGGAGGCAGAAAAGACAGGTGTTGATAATATATTATAAATAGAGAATGGAGAAGAAAGAAAAATGACTCTGAACTTCCTGGCTTGAGCAATGGGAGGTAAATAGGGTATCACATACAAAAAATGAAAAGGTTTGGGAAGGAGTAGATAAGAGGAATTGAGAGTTTGATTTCAAATTCCTTCAGTTTGGAATTTCCATGGAATTCCCACTTTGGGGATATCAGATAGGCAGTTAGATATATGATATTAGAACACAGAGAGATGTGAAATACAAATCTATTTCTCATTGGCATATTTAGATGGGATTTATACCCCTAAACATGGCTGAGATCTCAAAAGGAGAGAGTAGAGAGAAATTAGAGAAGCAGGTCTAGGGACAAACCTCAGGAAACATCAACACATACCAGAGGAGTATCCTGCAAAGGAAACTGATGAAGAATAGCCAGAGAGAAAGGTCAGGAGAAGGTTTTGTCTCTGGGGATCCAGAAGGCGGAAGTATGGAAGATCATTGAGCTGAAAGCAATTAAGATGTAGTAAATGCAGGAATTCTCTCTGTCTTCCTTCTGTTTTCCTAAAAGCTGAACATAGATTTACAAAGATAAAAGATTTCCCCCACCTTCTGCCAGGGAAAACAAAGGTTAGCCACTGAGGACACCATTGGATTCAGCTTGGAGGTGGTCCCAGCGGAGTCTATGTTAACAACCTTTACCAACCAGTCTTCGTCTGCCATTTATTTGCCTTGCCTCAAGCTGCTACCCATGGAGACTCAAAGTCCTCTTTCTTTGTTTTTTCACTTCTCTAAAAGCTTACTGTTCTTTGTTGCAGATGCTGTAAGCTGAAATTCAAAGCTACCTCTTTGAGAACTACTACTTCCCTGGGTGTTTCTTATGTACATATGAAACATACATGTTCATAAACTTGTTTGATTTCTCTTGTTAATCTGTCTTGTGTAACAGAGCTCTCAAGTCCAACTCAGAACCTATGGGTTATTCTTCTCCTATATGACAAAGAAATAGTGTTTCAGGAAGGAAATGACAAATGCTTCTAAGAGGTTGAGTAAGATGAGGACTAAAATGTGACCATTGATTTTGGAAATAATATAGTGAGCTTGACATGAGCGATAATTAGAGGACACTGAGAAGTGATAGGGAGTAAAACATGGAAATAGCAGATGGAGATAATACCAAACTGCAACTGAACATAAACGGATTATTTGGAAGAAGTTTTCACATCTCCACCAAAGGAGCAGCGTCAGATACATAAACACTGCTGCAATGTCAAAGAGTTCCAGGGTCATGACTCCTGGGATCACTCTGCCCTGACATGCCATTACTCTTCTGCTCTGACTCCATGGTATGTCTTCCAACTAGACTCTTGGGAAAGTCTTGTATTGAAAACCCCCATGGGTGCATAATCATTTCCCCTAGGCTCAGTGCAATTTTCTCTTCTTCTTTCAGATCCCCCTATCTTTCTCAAGTAAAATGAGTAAATTTTCTTCTCTGGAGTCCCACTATATGAATTCATTGTTGTTCCATGTATTAGACTGACTTATAATTGCTTGAGTGTATGTCCCAACTAGACTGTGACTACACTGAGGGAGGGGACTTGGTTTGGAAAGTGAGATTAGCTCCCAAGTTTTATCCAAACAAATAAGACCATTTTATAACAGGATTCCCTTCTCTTATGTGGTGCAGTATCTATCTATATTCCACTTTTTCCCATCTCTTGTTTGTTCCATCCCACCACCTCTCAAGATTATTACAATAGGATTAGGACTGACTAATTTGTTCAAAAGTTTATTTATGTTTTATGTAGAGTACAAATCAAAGTACATTTGTAGCAAAAGTTTTCTCTAATCCATGCACCAAAAGCTGCATTTTCTGTTTTAATCCAATATATTTCCTGTCTTGTATTTAAGTAAGTAAGATGAGTAAGATCATCATAATCATGTTGTTCGGGAAATTCATCACAAAGAATAAAAAATATGTTACTAGAAAACTAAATTCTTGGACACCCTGGTGAAAAAATCTCCCATCCTGCTGATTTCCAAACATTGGTCCTCCCCTCAGGTTTCAAGAAATAACCCACAATTTCTTGGGGACCCAGCTGTCTGCACAGCTTTTCTTGTTCTCTCCCAGTAGAATGGCTTTAAGGGCCTATGTTGACTCTTACTGATTTTTTGACATTTTGTCTTTCAGAACCAGAGGCAGGAGAGGTGTCCCCTCCAGTCGGTGCTGGAGTCAACAGCAACAGCTGGACCTTTAAATACGGACCCGGCAACCCGAAACAATCCGGTCCCGGTGAGTTGCCAGACAAATTCATTATCCCAGGATCTCCTGCGATCATCTCCATCCGGCAGGAGCCTACTAACAGCCAAATTGATAAAAGTGACTTCATAACCTTCGGCAAAAAGGAGGAGACCAAGAAAAAGAAGAAAAAGAAGAAGGGCAACAAGACCCAGGAGAAAAAGGAGAAAGGGAACAGCACGACTGACAACAGTGACCAGTGAGGTCCTCAAATGGAAACAAGCCACTTAGCCAGTTTTTGTAATAATGGCAAATCTCTTCCCATGTAGCAACTCCCTGCTCCCTTCTCCTATCAACATGAGCCCTCTTAGAGACCTCAGAAATCTGCAGAAAGTTCCCCTGTATATGTTTAGACCAAATTTAACAGGTTTTGTCTTAAAAGCTTTCCTAAGTCTGGTGTTAACTCTTTCTCTCCACTCTGGCTTGTTTTCAGAACCTAAAAAGCAGACCCAAGTTTCCTTTCTCCTCCGCCGCAAAGGAGAAGCATCCCAGTCCCGCCAGTGAGAGGTTGGACTCTCTGCCCTGTGCTCCGGGGATCCTGTCTTGATGACACTTGCAGGGCAGGCTGAATGATTTTGAGATTGAGCAGCTTGGGTGTTTGTGGCCACTGCAGATATTTCAGTGCCAGATATTGGCTGAGGTGGGTCAGATTAGACTATTTGCACAAAAAGGGCTGGGAAATAAAGGCAAGTAAACAGTGGGAGTTATCAGTCTGGAGGGGAAATGTGAGACTGAAGAAACCAGACTTTCTAAATTTTATAACTCAAGAGGTAGTGGCCAACCTCTAGCAGACAAAACTTTCCCCCACTGACAAGGCTTTAGGAGTCCCTAAAGTCTGTTTGCTGTGGTGTCCTTGTACCTAAAACCTGCATTATACGTACAAGCAAACAGTTCAGTGTTTAACAGAGGGTCAACCCAGGGCAACAGAAGCAGATCTGATGTGTTTCCTGTATATGTCCTTGTGCTCACTTTATTAAAAATTCTTTTGCACACAATGTTTATGAAAAGGCCAGATCCTTTTCCAAACACATATGCAAAAGCAAAAGAAAAAAAAGAAAACCCAACACCTCATTTTATGCTGTTTGTTATTTGATAGATTTATTTAAAAAAGAGAAAGTCTATAACTGTAAATCTTTAAAGAGAAATATGATGAATATTTCCCCTAAACTCCCCTCGAAAGAGAATTCAGTCTACAGCCATTTAAATGATCATTGCTGCTACAGAAGTGCTTTAAGAGAATTGCCTGAAACATCTGTATTATACCGGCCACCTGCCAATCACAGCTTTACTCTTTCAGGTCACTCTGGGGCTGCCTCTTGCATGTATTAATTACTAAATAAAAGGATCTTTCTTTCTCTTTTCTAAGAAAAAATGATGTGCACTTTGAATACACAACCTTCTCTAACCAACTATATCAAGACCCAGAAATTGAAGAAAAATACTGTTTTCGCATACATACAGTGAGCAGACTTTTCAATCCTCTAATTCTGTGACTTGTCTTGGTGTGCTAGCCTACACCTTCTCTTTGGTTTAGTTATCCTTTTCTATAACACTCTGAATTGCTAATCTTACTAACACCTATGATGTTACCTGAAATCAATCTCCCATATGTATGCTGTATGCTATTATAAGACTCCTGAAATATACTTACTCTGTGCTTGTGTATGTGAATGTTAATGCAACTATTACCTAGAGTGAACTTTAAGCTTTATTGTTGAATGTAATTCCATTATATTTCCTTTTGTACACCTGTGAAAAAGTGGAGTAGTGTTTTTTTTTAACCATTGTTAATCCGCTTTTGTGTATGAAAGACACAGTAAAATTTCTTTCTTAAATCAAGATACTGGTGATTCAAGGAATTTTATTTATGGTCAGCCAAGAGCTAGCTCTTGCCAAGAGTCCTGCTGGCAAGAGAATGGATAAAGCTGTTTTTTTTTTTTTTCTAGTAACAATTCTGGAATGAATACTGGAGATATTCCCTGAAGGTGTGCAAGCACAAATTTTACCAATCTGACCTCTTTGAAGTTGCAGAATGCTTGAAATTCTAATGCTATCTGGAATATCAGCTCATAGAAAATAATAAAATTTACCTTTACCTTAAATAACACATTTTAATTTTGTTATGTACAATTTACAAGTTTGATTATATTTAAAAGTTAATATAAAGGAAGTAGGAGTCTGTCATAGAAAAAAAAGGCATTAAATCTAAAAAAAAAAAAAAAAAACTAAAAAAAAACTGTCTTGTCTACTTTTAGCTTCATTCTCCCATATTTTGAAGGGTGTGTAACTTCAGCTCTGCAGGATTGCATGGGGTAAAACTTGTTGCCAACACATGTAAACCATTGCTACATTGTAGGTTGTGATCATTTTGCCCCACTGAAGCCCATGTAACTGACCTTACGTGCCTTTTGAACTAGGAGAATCGGGCTAATTTATTAATGATGATAATTATAATGTATCTGTACGGCACTTTTTAAATTTGTGAAGTGCTTTCCAATCCATGTTAGTTACTAGTCATTACAGCTGTAAGGATAAAACACGTCATGTGGATTCATTTTTAATTGGTGCTATTGGTATTTCCTCTGTTATTGCTAATAAATGGAAACTGGTGGTATGAAAGAAATGGTGGTCATTTCTAAGTATAAGGGTAGGAAAAATAGAACACTGATTATCATGAGCTATTATTACTGAAGAAGATTGCCATAGTATCAAACTTACTGTAACACCCTCTGGCGATTACACTGGTTTTTATGTTCATCACTGAGGTAAAACATCAATGGAATTAAAAACAAAACAAAACAAAAAAAAAACCTCTATAATATTATTAGAATGGGAAGCCAGGAGGATGCTGATTACTTCCCTTCACATTATTTCAGTCTTCTTAATAAGAATTGCAACAGACCAGGGCTGAGATTATAGCTAGTGGTACTCCACTTGCCTAGCATACATAAAGCCCTACGTTTGATCCCCAGCACTGAAAAAAAGGAATCACATCAAAATGTTTTTTTTATTACTAGAGCCCCTCCAGTCAGTTTGATCATTACAGTTCTTGTAGCTCTCTATAATTGGAAAGTCAAATAATGCCTTATAAAATCAACTTTTTGCTTTTTTAAGAGACAGCTTTATTTAGGAAAGCTAATACACATTGAAAAGGGAGAATGCAGGGCATCTCAAGAGAGAGACAGCTTTGAGGGGAAAGAAAGAGCTACATATTCAAGAGAATGTGGGCCATTTTGAGAGTGAGAAGCACCTGAAATTAACTTTTATTGAGCATAGAATATATGCTACCCTACTGAGTAGGTTCAGTTCATAGTACATGCTCTATAACAAATAAGTTATATTGTCCTTGTATAGTTCAATTTTTTATTAGCATAGGCTTTAGGTACAGTGGTTCTTAACCTGGAGCAGTCCCCCACTCCCCGACCCCTAGGGAGCATTTGATGTTTGGGGACATTGTAATCTTTATTACTTGTGGCGGCCATTGCTACTGGCATCTAATGGGTAGATACCAGGGGTGCTATCAAAAACCCTACAATACACAGGACAGCCTTCCACAACAAAAAATTTTCCAGCCCAAAATGTCAAGATTGAAAAACCTTGCGATAGAATGACAATATAATTTGTTTAACCCATGTTTTAAATGTTAAGAAGATACCGTTAATAATTACTTTAGGAATCAAGATTTAAACTGGAACTTTCCCAGGTAACTTGGAATGCTGAAGGATTCTAATTATAAACAAATTGTTAAGTTCTGTCAATGACTAGATGGGAACCTGGGCTAAATCACTACTTCTGTGTTTCAGCCTCATTTTCCTCATTTCTAAAATGAGGATAATTATAGAATAGATATTAGAGATTTTTGGGGAAAGTTTTAACAAGATAATCTCAAACTTTTTAACACAATGTTTATTGAAGTGCTCAATAAATGGTTGTTATTATTTATAGTCCTTTTCTTCCACTTCTGTACCCCTTTTTCACAGATAACAGCTATTAGACTCAGAACACTTATCCTATTGATTAAAATATGAATGAGAGATGGCAAAATGAATCAACATAGATTTGGCATTAAAATAGTTTATTTACTCCACTGTTTTGCTCATTCCTGGAGGGAAAAAAGTCAAGTCCGTTTCATTACTCCTTACCTATTTCCATCATGAATAAAAACCACTTCTCTAAGTGTTCAAGTGAACAGCATGTTTATAGGTGTTCCACCTCAATGATTAGTGATCTGAAAACCAGGGACCAAAAGGCTTGAAGTCATTCTGCATGTTCAAATGAACAAATCCCATGAGTCTTAAGTATAACATCAGGAAAGAGAAGTGTTACCTCCAACAACTTCTTTTTGGCAAATGGATAAAACGGAAACACCAACACACCTACATATTTGCCTAGAATCCTACAGGTAATAAAGGACAAGTCAATTTGCGTCTCTCTTAAGAGCTAGGGTACTTTGTAAGGGTCTCACACAATCAGAGTGCAGATTTACTCTTTAGAAGAACTGCAACTGATTTCAAAGGATGAGTCCCCTAATTAGTGTCTGGAATTTTGGCTAGTAGCTTTTAGGCTCCTAGGTAAAGATTCTAGTCTTAGGATGTTGTGGCCATGAATTTTACGTTTTTTAAGTTCAAAATCCCAAAGTACAAATGTAATTGAACAAAGACTTATTCTGGTGTTAAATTTTAAAATCAACAAAACATCAAGAGATACATTAAAATAAGTAAACAAACAAACAAAAAAAAAAAAAAAACTACAGTTGTACCTCATCAGGACTTGAAACCTTAAGAACTTCCCTAAAAAATAGCAAATTGAACATTCCTTGACCCTATATAATCAGGTTTTCATGTACTTCCTCTTGTTAAGAAAAAGCTGATCTTATTGTTTTTCCCCTGAATTAACTTGGCTGTTGACTGGCAGGATAAATCTTGTAACCAAGACGTCCTCTCTGATTTTATGTGCATGTACACACGGACACACACACACACACACACAGAGAGAGAGAGAGAGAGAGAGAGAGAGAGAGAGAGAGAGAGAGAGAGAGACTTTTATTATAATTAAGAAGGGGTCCTTGGTAAATGAGTATGGTACTAGCTTCCCTTTGAAATTGTACCTAAGAATGGTACATAACATTACCAGTTAGGTAAAATGTTAGTGGTTCTGATTTCTCCTGGGGTTGATTCATGGGGAAATGTCTGTTGAAAACTCTTTCTTTTTCCCTAAAAAAAAAAAAAAATCTATGAATTTGTCTTTGAGCTTAAGTTCCTCTGTGAGTGCACTAGTAGATTGACTTCTGTAATATGGAGTCTAGTTTTTACAATGAAATTAGAAAGTAAAAATTAAAGAAGTCAAGTGAAGAAATTAGGTAGTAAAAAGCACAAAGCCCAGAAATTTGTTAGGTTAGAAAATGTGAACTGGAGATCATTGATCCACAAAGAACATGAGCAATTTAGTCAACTACTCAACTACTCAGCCAGTATCTGGACAAAGCCGAAAAAATTGACAACTAATGCACAAACATATATGAGGACTGGTTAAACAACTCCTACTTTAGGCTTTGCTTCTGCTAGCCTTTCTATATTAATTGTATGTCATATTGGATTTTTATTGTAAAAGTAACATATGTTCTTTTAAATAAATCAAAGAATCCAGAGACATATAAAGAAAACCCACTCATCTCCTCACTCATTTCTTTTAGTTCCCCTTCACACAAATATCCATTGCTAACAGGTGTGTTTTCCCACATTTTTCTCTATGCATTTATACATATAGCATAAACATAGGATCAAAATAAAATTTAAAAAATTAAATAAAATTTAAAAATAAAAACAAAATAATGTCATAATTGTTACCATGTATATTTTTTTTAAACTTATATTAACTTGGAAACTTCTCCAGGTCAACTCAAAAAAATATTTTAAATTCCTGTATAAGTTCTATATGATGGTCAGATCATATTGCATTCAGCTTTTTATTTATTAAGGCATTTGGGTTACAGCCAAATTTTTGCTACTGAAAACAAAAGGAGTACTTATTTTCAATAATAAATTCAGTAGTTGAGCTTTATAAATCCTGGCTTACGTATATTTCAGAGGAAGTTTGGAAAGTCATTATGAACTTTATGTGACCTACTCTATAAAAGTCATATCCTTTTATCTGAACATACACTTGTTTTAGTAATCAACAGTGAACTAAAATTCTACTTATAGGTGGATGACGAAAAACAGAGACGAACATTCATAAGAAAGAAAAAGGTTAGAAAGATTTGTCATCATTTACCTACCCAGAACAACTTCATGGGAAATCCATTTCACCCCAAAATTTCTCCATCCAGTCACAGATTAAGATGCACATAGGAAAAACAGAAGCTTCAAATATAATTTAAATACTTGCTCAGACTTGTGATATTTTAATACCATTTGTCTGAACATTAGACATAAAGCATTCTAATTTGATTCTAGGTTGTTACATCTTGGCTGAGAAGTAGATATATGAGATTTGTATCTATGGAATGGATGATTTCATTTTAAGAAAATACCAATTGCTTACCAAATAATGAATCTGAGACTGCCAAATATCAAGGCAGTTATTCATGTGTCTAAAAAAAAATACCAATTACAAAACCATCTGCTTTAGTATATTTTTATACTAAATTATCAATACTGTTTTATCTCTCACACTAGTCTTTTAAGAATGACATTCCCAAGTCCTTTGGTTTATTCCATTCCCCATGGTTAACAGCACTCATTATTCAGACAAAGCACATATTTCTTCTCAGCTGTAGGAATTTTCCTGATTATCTTCCTCTTTGTTCTCCTCAAGGATAGGGCCAATTTTCTAGGGAC